GGATCTGTGCAGTAATAAAAATTTTTTTCTTCTATCGTTTAATGTTCTTAATTTATAAACATGAAATCAATAAAATTTAGAAACATTTTCGGAAACTTTACATGATTATAATAAAATAACTAGTTTCTGATAAATATTGCAGAGAAAATTGTGACAAATCATGCATTTTTTTGTAATTTATAATGACAATCGACAAGCAATTATTCCTACGGATTTCATGATTTTTTTTATTGTAATTACTATTTACAAAATGCGAAGGAAGTAATTTGCGCATCCCCCCAACAAAATGCAAGATTATCACTAATTGCAATATTTGATTAAAAATTTATTAAATGTTTATTTAAAAAAATATATGTTATGTTGTTTTTTTGTAAACACAGAACTTCTGTTTTTTCTTTTAAATTAACAACATATGTTTGTTATTATTAAAAGTATATTGCAGAAAGATAATAGAGCTAGAGTTTCGCCACAGATAGCTCGAAAAAATTCTGCCTCAGGATTCATGGGGAAAGAAGAGAAAAAAAATCTTTTGGGGCAGGTTTTTTTCTGAACCCTATAATCTAGTTTTATTTTGCGAGAAACAGCTTTCAGGAATAACACTAAGTCATAAACATTAAATTTAAAATTGCAACATTTAGACTCTCAGTTTATAATTGAGTAAATTTAATAAGGCACAACATGAAAAACATTCACAGAATAAAAAAATTAAAAAAGAACTTGGAACCAGGAATGAAAAGTTTTCTTCCCTAGTGAAAGTAAGAGGTTTCTTCTAACATAAGAGGAAGAAACTTTCTCTTCAATAAAGAAACATCTATTAATTTAAAATAAAACTTTAAGAATTTAATAATTATAATTTAGTTAAAGCAATAGTATTATTTCCAAGTCATTTAATAAATCATTTTTAAATAAGAGAAAAGGCAATATTTAAAAAGGAAAATAAATTTAATGAATTTCTTAAATGACGTTACAACAGTAGTTTTTTCCCATGTTAAACACAAAGGACGACAGAGCTTATTTTTATAATTATGGAAAGACCTTTTAAAGTAACATAATCAAATTATATTATTGCATTATCTTTAAATCACACTTTGTATTCACAATTACAACAGCATACTAATTTTCACAACCAAATGCTGTTAATACTGAAATAATTAATCTTGCTCTGTTTACAGATTGTGATTTATATAATATATAAAAAAAATTGCTAATTACATAATTAATTTGCAGCCTATTACTACAGCAATGTATTAAGTATGAAAAAAAACTTAAAAAGAAAAACATTTCTAAAAAGAGGAACATTTAACACTAAATATTCATTGGGTCAATTCTTTTTTAAAAGCATTTTTCATCTTTTATGCATTAACACATAATACAAGAAGTATATTAAAACATTAGCTACATAAGGTCTCTATAAGATTGACTTGGGTACCTTTTAAAACAGTGCCCATTAACACAAAGCCCGTAGCAACTAATAATAACACCATTAAAAAAGTATCACTGGCATCAATAATATTCTGTTTTATGCTCAACCCATGAAAAAGATAAGCATATTTTATTTTATGTTTTTTTTCTTCTCCCAGATTTATGAAACAGGCCAAGTGTTAAAATTAAGCATCTTAAATTCGATACAATTGCAACAACTGTAATAGTCTAAATTAAAAGAAAAACACTTATGTCATAATATTGGTGGTTAAAATACATTATGATTTTCATAGTTCATTTAAATAAATTTTAGAATCCAAGTATTAAGTAAGCAAACTTTATATAAAACTTAAATAAAAGTTTGTTAAAAAAATTCTTTTTTTTTCAAATGGTAAATTTAGAAAGTAGCTGTTAATTTAAATTCATACAGCATAGTAAGTTGATGTAAAATGTTTTTAGCTCTAAGGATTATGGTACTAGGCATTTATATTTATTGCAAAATTTGTATATTAATAAACTTAAAATAAGATTTTTTACAAATGATTACCTAATAATTATTAAGAATGGAAATATAATTGAAATTTGTTCATTTACAAAATTGCCAAAACAAAGTAAAAACAAATGGATTCAGATAATTTTAAAGTATTTAGATTAAAATTAAGCACTTTCTTGATTGAAAAAGTATTGTTATTGAATTCTCTCATCTAGTTTAAAAATTATAGACTTTAATTACTTTGTTGCACTTGTACAGAAAATCTTATTCAGTTTGTACTTCTATTTAAAATATTATTGCCAAGTTACTATAAATATTATTCAATTAAAGTGTATTTTATCTTCTTGAAGATACAATTTCATATAACAGAATTTGCTGTAAGATTTATCTGGAAAAAAAATTTCTGTTACCAAACACACAAAGCCAAATGTTAAACAGATACAGATTTACAATTTATTACTCATGCTTTATAGTCAATCATTATAAAAAAAAAGTTACAGCAATTATAAATTTGCAATACAATAAATAAAACTATTATGATCATGAATAAACATTCTTGAATTGCTAACATAATTTTGTTTGATTTTATGATAAAACATTTCTCCGTAAATAAAAAAAAATTACTACTTTGATGCTTTCTCTACGTGCAATAGTTTTCAAAATAGACTAAAAAAAATTTCATCACAAACACTTTTTATTTTACACATCTCTCCCACACCTTTATTATTTATAAATCATGAATAATCTGCAAAACTTTAAATTTAGTGAACTTATTCCGCAAAATTAAATTATCTAACATCAATTTTACTCTTAAAATTATGGAATATAAAACTTAAATTTACTAGTTATATAAGATCATTAAATTTAATAGAATCAAGTTTTTGAACGATTAAGATATTGTTCGAATATCCAATAAGAATACATCTAAGATATCCAAATACATACAACTGATGTATAAAAGAAATCCCTCAGATATCTCATGGATATCTGTAATAAGTCACATATATGTCAGTTAACGGAAACTCATCTATGTATCATAGTCTTAGTATGAAATTTTTTATATCTGGTTTTAAAAAAATCCCAATGAAAAATAAAATATTTATAAAATAAAAAATCATAAGATATTTTTCTTCCACATCATACAAAACCGCAATACACCTATTTAGATAAACTGTGTTGGAAATACAAAAATGGGTAGAAATAAAAATTATCTAAAATTATTATTTTCATAAAAAAATTACAAAATGATATTTTAAAACTTTTCTTTGTTTTAATATTTTTATCAATGTTAATTTTCTGATTTACAAAAATTAATTTTGAGCTTAAGATTGATATTATCACAATTCTTTAAGTAATTTCCATATAAGTTGCAAAATTTCCATTTCGTTTCAATATTATCACAATCTATTGTTGTTTCAGTTTTACGGCCTAGAGATTTTTACTGCCAAAAAACTACTTTATTAAATAGCATTTTGCATTAACCTATTTTGAGGAATTATCTGGAAAAGCAAGATCAATAAAATTTTAACTAAGAAATGCTTTATGGAGTATGTAGTAAGGATAAAATACATGAAGATAAAAATCATAAGTGTAAATTATTGCTCTTATTTACACACAAACAGGAATTTCAACATGTACATTTATTCAAAGGGTTAAGACGGGCCTGGTCTACTAAGATATTTGATTGACCATTGCAAAAATATTGGTTATCACGTTCAAAATAGGAAAAAAATCTTTATTTCATGTATCATTTTGTTTAACAAGCTGCAACTTAAATCTGTTTCTCTATTGATCATAAATTATAAAAGTTTTTGAACTTATGAGCATTTTTTTTCAAATTACTATTCAAAAAAGCAAGATCAATTAGAAGTCAAAACTAGATAAACANATAATACATACAACTGATGTATAAAAGAAATCCCTCAGATATCTCATGGATATCTGTAATAAGTCACATATATGTCAGTTAACGGAAACTCATCCATGTATCATAGTCTTAGTATGGAATTTTTTATATCTGGTTTTAAAAAAATCCCAATGAAGAATAAAATATTTATAAAATAAAAAATCAGAAGATATTTTTCTTCCACATCATACAAAAACCGCAATACAACTATTTAGATAAGCTGTGTTGGAAATACAAAAATGGGTAGAAATAAAAATTATTATTTTTATAAAAAAAATTACAAAATTATATTTTAAAACTTTTCTTTGTTTTAATATTTTAATCAATGTTAATTTTCTGATTTACAAAAATTAATTTTGAGCTTAAGATCGATATTATCACAATTCTTTAAGTAATTTCCATATAAGTTGCAAAATTTCCATTTCGTTTCAATATTATCACAATCTATTGTTGTTTCAGTTTTACGGCCTAGAGATTTTTACTGCCAAAAAACTACTTTATTAAATAGCATTTTGCATTAACCTATTTTGAGGAATTATCTGGAAAAGCAAGATCAATAAAATTTTAACTAAGAAATGCTTTATGGAGTATGTAGTAAGGATAAAACACATAAAGATAAAAATCCTAAGTGTAAATTATTGCTCTTTTTTACACACAAACTGAATTTAAACAAGTACATTTATTCAAAGGGTTAAGACGGGCCTGGTCTACTAAGATATTTGATTGACCATTGCAAAAATATTGGTTATCACGTTCAAAATAGGAAAAAAAACTTTATTTCATGTATCATTTTGTTTAACAAGCTGCAACTTAAATCTGTTTCTCTATTGATCATAAATTATAAAAGTTTTTGAACTTATGAGCATTTTTTTTCAAATTACTATTCAAAAAAGCAAGATCAATTAGAAGTCAAAACTAGATAAACAGCAAAGATAATTGCCTAACAATTATTCAATATAATAGACAGTATACAACTGTATAACTTCAAAAAATGTTTCAAAACCTTTAGAGCTTTAAAAGCAAATTATTTAAATTACACTCCTAACTATTCTAATTTATCAAATCTGAAACAAGTGTAATTCAATACAGGGATTTTTTCAAGACTATATTTAAAAAAATTGTATACTAAAATACTACAACTAATTTAAGACATAATTAAAATAATTAAAATGAACATACTCATTGTTTTTAATTTATTTCCAATCTTGTCAAGAAATAACATCAGTTGAGCCAAGACTTTATTTGTTGAGCTGTTACCAGCGGACACTTTTGACTTGTTCAGCTAAATGCAAAAAATTTACAAAATGAGATATCTGATTAAAGACATTATAAAAAGAATGAAGCTTCTTATTTTTTTCACAAATAAAGTTTAAAATTACTAAATTTAATTTAAAAGAAATAATTAAGAATAATTCATAGAGCAAAAAAGTTATAGATTAGTATTTTCATTTCCTTAATTTAATTTTGGACTTCGTTAGATATCAATTATTTTATAAATTTTTAAGCAAATGTCTAAAGACTATGTCTATCAAACAATGCCCAAGATTCATTGTTTGGAAATGAAAATTATCACAGTTTTTCAATGAAAACTCTTGACCACTGTAACAATCATTTCTCCCATTTCTCTTCATAAAATTATTTTTTATGTTATCTGGATTTTTATTTCGATGTATTGTTGAATTATTAATAAATGCATTAGAATATTTCATGCTAATGATGCAGGACAATGTTTGGCTGCAGACTTAGCTGGTTTAAAACAATGCAGTTTAAACCAAATGATTTAAAAGAGAAAAAAAAAGCCTGAATATTTAAAAAAAAAAAATTTTTTTTAATAAATAAATTTTCTTGTTTTTATATTTATGTTTATTTTCTTGTTTTTTCTTGTTCTTGTTTTTCTAGTTTATATTATTCTGATGATTTTGTTTGAGTTTCTTTTCTTAATTTGTTATTTGTATTTCATGTTTTTTCCTGGACTTCTAAACAAAACCATTGGGGTACTGAGGGAGTTAATTTAGGCATTTGCTTCTCCCTCAATTAGAAATGGTTTTGTTTTTTTGGCTACCGAGGCCGGTACCCCCTGAAGATGTTGGTTTCGGTGGTCATATTTTTATTTTTATTTCCTTCGTTTCCTTTATTTAAATTTTCTTGTATTTATATTGATTTCTTATTTGTCTAAATGTTGAGAAGTCAAAAGATGTTTTTCTCACATTTTCTGAAATTTTTAAATGTTTGCATAGAACTTGAGTTTTCACAAAAGTAATAATGTAAAATAAATCAATGCAAGCAAATTTAAAATAAAAAACACGAGGTTTTGTAATAATGCTTAAAATAAATTAGACCATAACTAATTCCATGTTCTGTAATTTGTAGAATTAGCCAATCATATACTAATAATTGAAACTTCCTAAACTTTATTTTTATATACTAGTGAAATATACATAATGCTTACTACAGTTAAAAGTATAAATAAGAAGGTGCTTTTCTAAATTTTATTTTCTCAGTTCAATTTCATATTTGTTTTCTGCCACTTAGATAAACAAATTTTGAATTGTATGCTTATATTCCTTATTGTAAAATTTTCAAAATTCAATTAAAATATATTTTTAAGTAAATTTTTTTTAATTTTGCAGTATGTCAATAAGAACCTCATTATATTTAAAGCTAAATTATGTTTAAATAAATGGCATATAAGTAAATAGTTCTTTGTTTTTCTGACGGGCAGAACTTAAACCTACATTTATTATAAGTGTGTATATATTTATGGAACACATTTATCAATTTATTTCTTTTCATCATGCTGTTATTAAATATTTCTTAAGTGAAGAAAAAAAAGCATTTTCTTGAATATCTAAATAATTTAAAATTCATCCCAATATGTATACATATTCACACAATACTAAAATAATATTTAGATATTAAATACTATTTAACCTTTCTTTAAAATCCGAAACTTGATCAACAGAGAGACTTTAAAGTGCTTTATCTCATAGATGATAATTTTGTGTTTTAATCTTAATTAAATCCCTAAGGAATTTTTTCTACTTAAGATAAAGTTTTGAAGTAAACTTTTTTTATCTTAAGTATAATACACTTATTTAAACTGTGCATGAAATAAGATTTTATGATGGATTAAAATTTTTACTGCATGTTATATATACCTAACATGAATTTTTAACCTTTTTTTTTACTTTTTTGCAAAATAATCTATAAAAAATGTTTTAATTGATATATCAACAAATTAATGCATAAAATTGTTAAGATGAATATTGTAAGCACTAAGAAAAAAATTTAAAATATGTTAAAATAAAAAAGGCCTTAAGGATTTAAAAATGAAATTTTTTTTTTAAATTTTAAACAATTTTTCCATTAACCATTTTTCGAAGATAAATCATAGATTATAAGTTAAATGAGCATCCACAAAATGAATGATTATACTTTTATTTTTAAAAAATGCTGCAAGAGTACTGTGAACAAAATTTTTTTTACGTATAATGAAACCTTCCATAATGAATATTAATAAAACATATAAAAGAAATTACTGAGAGTATAAGTTTACAGTTATAACAGCAGTCTTCAGAAAATTAATTTTTGTTATTGCTTCGACATGCTTTTACCAACTGACTGTTCAAATAAAAATTATGCAACCAGGCTACTTTGAATCAATGTGATCGAGGCAATGTGAA